GAGACCTAACAACATCACATCATTTTAATACTTAAGTTTCCTCACAAAGAAAAGCCTCCATGATTTATGAGCACTATTAATTACATCAGCGTCCTGATGTGGTTCTTCAAGATAATGTACTAGACCACGAGATCAGTTTGAACCACAAGGTCGGCAGTTCAAAGTCACCAGCTGCTCCTCGGAAAGCCTGTGCAACAGCAACATTAATTTACATCAGTCAACAACAGAACTGTTTCAAATATGACTTCTTTAATTCTAACTCCTAGTGTGGAAACAGTGTTATCATCATTTCATAACATTTTTTGACCAAAAAACAAAATCACCATGGTTTGTGTAGACAGTCTTGTGATCTTTTGAGACAAAAATGTATTTAAAATTTATCTCCTTCAGCTCCATTCCCCATGGACAATATATTATATTATCAAAAAATCAGAAATACTTTCTTCCCAGGTACTTCATACTTCTGTCACTGTGGATTATAGCTAGCTTTCTTAACACAATACATAGTTTCACAACTTCATGTATTTGCTCTAATTGTTTCCTTTCTTGGCTGCCTTGTGAATTCCTTTTCATCTTTCAGAAACTAACTTGTGGTCGACATGATTTAGGCACATATCCTTGCACACTCCTTGTAGAAATGCCATAAACTTGCTGTTTGGAATCAAACTCATGGTGATTCTCATGTGTGTCAGAGTAGAACTGTACTCTACAGGGTTATCATGATTGTTTTGTAGAATTAGATTGCCAGGTCTTTCTTCTGAGGTACCTCTCCATATTAACCATTTGTTGTACCTATGGACTCCAGAACTACCACCTTTCCCATTAAATGTGGAGCAGATATAGCTAGTCATGTTTATTAAGAAGCCAATCAATGACGACTGGGGGGCAGACTTGTAGTGTATACCCTTTGGTTAGTTGATGACGCATGGAGAGGATTGTAACCATGGCAATGAAACAATATACGAGAGGATGAATGCAAAACTAATGTTCTCCCATGTAAACTATCACATAATTCACAATAAAACATTAAAATAAAAAAGAAGGCAATCAACTGGATCTGTGATGAGGCCATAATTAAAGCTTAGTCAATCAGAACCCTTAACCAGGAGTTTGAAATACAGTTGCTGAGAAACTAAAGAGTTTGCAAAGCAAAGCCGAGCTAGGTCATTTATATTGGGACTAAAATCTATATACAATGAGAATCTACCACTGGACCAGTAAACATCATTCTTATCAACAGAGAAAAGATTGAAGTTGTCAAGGACTTCATTCTTCTTGGATCAACTATCAACACTCACAGAAACAGCAGTCAACAAAAAATCAAACAACGTATTGCATTAGGCAAATTTGCTGCACAAGACCTCTTTAAAGTACTGAAGAGCAGAGATGTCAGCTTGAGGACTATGGTGCACCTGACCCAAGCTATGGTATTTTCAATAACCTCATATACATGCGAAAGCTAGACATTTAATAAGGAAGAACATAGAAGAATTGACACATTTGACTTATGGTGTTGGAGGAGAATATTGAAAGTGCCATGGGCTGCCAAAAGAATAAACAGATCCGTGTTGGAAGAAGTGCAATCAAAGTGCTCCGTGGAGGCCAGGAGAGCCAAATTTCGTCTCTCATACTTGGGACATATTGTTAGGAGGGACCAGTCGCTGGAGAAGGAGGTAAGGTGGAGGGTCAGAGAAAAAGAGGAAGACCCCAAACAAGATGGATTGGCCACATGGCAGCATTAATGGACTCAACCGTGGCAACAATAGTGAGGTTGGCCCAGGATCGGACAGCGTTTCATTCTGCTTTGCATAGATAGGGTCGCTATGAGTCAGTGCCAACCTGATGGTACCTAACAACAACAACAATACATAATAAGCAAGCTGATGAAGCCAGAGTACACAAAATATTCTATGAAACTGATCATTCCAACCCATGACTCCTTTCTACTTTCTCTAATTGAAATGGGTTTCTGTTCTTTGAAATAAAAAGGTCTTGAGAAGACAATAGTTGAAATACTACTTATGATGCATTTGAGCACCTAAAGGCTTATTTGGAGTCGGTGGGTTGCTATGAGCCATAACAACTCTACAGCACTTAGTAACAACAACAAAAGGCTTATTTAATTATATTCTAATCTGTTGTCACACATAATATACCATACTTTTGGTGCATAACTTCCTCATAGGACAAGACAGATCTGCCTCAGAGCATTTTCTAAGCTCCATTCAATAAGCACTTGACTATGAACCACAAGGTGGGTGGCTGGAGTCCACAAGTTTCCCCAGAGTTGATGGGGATGGGTTTGAGGAACGGAGAGGATGAGGCTTTCTGATCCCACAAAAATTTAACTCCTCGCTATAAATCAGAACCGACTCGAAGGCACTTAACAACAACCATTGAAGAGTAAAACATATATTGTGAGAAAATCTGGTGATCTAGTCCCTGTTAAGAGTATTGGTTAAGCGTCTGCTAGTTGGTAGCAGAAGTCCTGTTGTGGTACTATATGTTATTGTACTGCATTACAAGATTGCTTGAACTGCAAAGTTAGCAGTTCAAATTTACCAGTCACTTCTCAGAATCCCTATACAGGGTCACTAGGAGTCGATACCGACTTGATGGCACTTAACAACAACAACAGTTGTTAGTGACTCGTACTGATCCTATATAGGGTTTCCAAGAAGCGGCTGGTGAATTTGAATCCTGGGCCTTGCAGTTCACACCTACCTTGCAGTCCAGTGCATTATCCTACAGTGCCACACCAGGACTCACAGCCTACATTACTAGCTAACAAAATCTCTATCATTTTCTTGATATTCTTTTCACAATTTTATAAACATGCAAACTTCTTTGGATGGATATCTTTTCCAAGCTTCTCACTTGGGTGGGTACCAAAAGGAGGCTGACTTTGATAGATTTTTCTTTTCCCTTCCCCCATCTCACGAACGCAAGAAGGGATTTCCTTCTTGCTTGTACAGAGATATACAGAGACACAGAGTGTCTGGCCACAGTTGGTTCCTGTGAAAAGGAAGGGATCTGATAAACAGGACCGGTTAAACCTTTGCAACATTCCCCTCTTAAACAGAAGGCAGTTCTTTCTTCTTTCTGAAGAAAGAGTTTCCTGTTTCCTCTCCTCTTTGTGCTTTATTGGAGACAGCAGGCCTTACAATTGGCCTTCCTGGTACTTCAGAAAGCAAGCACATGCAGAAAAAGAAAGTTTCTCCTGGGTGAGGAAGCTGAAACTTCCAGACAAAAGAAATGTAACAACAGACATCCTACATCCTGCCAGTCCTGCTCTTGGTGAAGAATCAACCAAGACTTGTGTCCTGCTGGCTGAAGCCCCTTGAAATCCAATCACTTCCAGGAGCACAAGATCAACAGACATTCTAGGGCATGTGTATTAAGGAAACTTTTTGGCTGGTTGCTCAATCATGGTCCTTTGAATACCTTAAACCCAACATAGTATGGGTTTGATGCAGACTTACAGAATATTACAAAACAAAGAGTAAACCTGGTAAGGTTGCTTCAACCTCTCCCCAGAATAAGCAGCACCAAACTGACAAAATTACAACGCCAATTTAGTACCATTTCTGTGGGTTCTCTATTAAACCTTTTATTTCTATCCTCATTTTCTATCAATAGATTTCAGGTTAATCAAAAATTAAACTATTCAACTCCCCTAGCAACAGAGGAGAGGGATGGGAGATGATTTGTTACTTGCATTTAATAATCATTTTTAAAACAAAGAAATTGGAACAATTCTGCCTGGCATGTAGTAGTACTTACAAGACTTTTAATTAGTTCATTTGCTACAAAAATCTGCCTGTACTCATTAACTCTATTTCCACACACATCTCCTTCTTCCTGCCAAAAACTTTGCTTTGGTATTACTCATTGGTAATTTCCTTCTCTACTCAACAGCTAATTTGCCATTACAGTTGAGATTATTAAGATATTATTAATTTAGTGGAAATTATTTTTTTTCAAGTAATACTGTGAAATTTGATCTCATACTATTATGATCATTTAAGCTTATTAACAGAGAATACAGTTTTTTAAATGATACTTTAGAACAGTATTATCTTAGATTTAGACACTATCTTTTCCCATTTTCAAACACACTACATTTCTGTCCCTATAGAACCTACATATGCACACATACATACACTGCTAAGATCACAGTGGCAAAATTCTTCTATTCTTGTGACATTTTCATAGGACTGAATGTTAAAATTTTATTTCAAGGACTATCACAGTGTAAAGATAAATGTAGTCTAAACACTGGGACCATACATTTCAGGAACTAAGCTAGCATTTTTATGATATATTTTAGGTACCTATGAAGGAAGCTCTGGTAGCATAGTGGTTATGAATCGGGCAGCGAACTACAAGGTCAGCAGTTCAAAACTACCAGCTGTTCCGCGGGAAAAAGATGAGGCTTTCTGCTCCCGAAAAAGATTTACAACCTAGGAAACCCTGTACAGGGTCGCTATGGGTCGGACCTAGGAAACCCTGTACAGGGTCGCTATGGGTCGGATCCAACTCCACACCACATAACAACAACAACATCAGTTGTATTCATTCTAAAGTAACATTAAAAGGGGAGAGAGTTATGCATTTAGAAAGTTTAAACTGAATTATTTATTTTAGTTCAATATAGAATATTTATCATAGTCAAGATAACAATCAATGTGTACAAAATTTACATAACAGGAGAAGCAAAAGCCAATGCAGCACCTTTAGAAAAATAATTAAAAGTTTTGTTGCATTTACAGGTAAGTGCCACACTGAGAATTTACAACACAGTAATTTACTGCAATCAATCACAAGGAGTTCCATAAAGAAACAAAGCTCTTACACTCCAGGATTTAGGAAGGAATTATTGGAATGCTTAACTATAATCACAAAATTTGTACATCCTTAGGATTGAGTTTTAAAAAGTCATAATAAGTTTTCATAGCATATATTATATAAAAGGAGTCCACTGCAGTCAGATAGCTGGTTTAGAATCTCTGACAGGTGTGAAGCCTAGAAGAATTACTGACTTGATGGTGATCTTTCTGTATCCGACAAGACAGACCTTCTTCACAGTAACAACGCTGGAATATCTCCAGCCCATGGGAACCTTTTCTCCTGTGCTTGGTGCACACTTGACCTTCTTTGAGGACAGGTTTACAGATCTTGGACCAGAAGTGTCTAGCACAACACAACCCTGTGGCACAGTCTGATGATCGGAGGCAGACAGAGCCTTCTTGACCTAGGAAGGAGAAGACATTGAAGGGAAAGTACATGGTTACTGCTAAACCAGCATAGCCTCATTAAGATAATTAAAAACACATGCCTGAAGTGTTAACGGAGTGGCAAGAATCTTAAGGTTCTTTAAGATACCTTTGGTATGATACATTTTTGAAGATTGTGTAGTTCGCCTGGAGTATCCATCCAAGGTGCTGGGCTCATTACCAAAACTTTCAATAACGGTCTCCTCGATTTCCCCACGATTGAAATGATTGTGATCAGACGGCATACATATTCCTAAGGCAGTTAAGAGACAGCGATTAAATTCAGAGCTGTAATATCTCACTGTTAACAGCTTTGCTTTTTAATAGGAGCAGTCTGTCCTGCCTGGACTACCTAAACACCTTGTTGCAGGGAAATGCTTTTTTCCAGCAAAATTGCCTCCAATGGATAAAATCAATGCAAAACTCCTACAATGGACAAAAGTGCCAATGTGTACACTATGCAGTCATAAGCACATCCCCAAGATAGCCACCGAAAACACTTTCCCAATAACTGTTGTAGGGGCAGTAAGATTTTTGTGTATTTTAATATCACTTTTTGGTTAAAGAGAGAAAAAAAGAAAAAAGTCAGTCACTAAAAAAACAAATTTTCAAAAATAACTCCTCTCCCCTTGGTGTTATGTGAATACTGCCAAACTAAATTAAGCCAATGAAATTCCATCTGCCTGGAAGATCACAATCTCACCCACCAGTTGTTTTACTGTATAATTTCTATATTACAGAGATGTTGTTAGCTCATTCTGGAGTATTGTGAAGTCCGAGGGAGAGTTACCACCCTGAAATTGCACTTCTGGGCAATTATTTGACTGACTGAGATTACGGACGAGTCTACCTCTTTGAGAATTAAATTTTAGTGCATCTGTGGCAGGTAGAGGTGGGGTCCTTCTTTTAAAGTGGTATAGGCAGGCATGACATCAAGAGTGTACACATAAATCACACTACTGGTTGACAGTAATTTCAACAGGGATGATGAGACAGAGACCAGGTTGACAGAGCTATGAAAGTGCACAGCAAGGAATACGAAAGGCAGCTGGACACCCCCACTAACCTGATCCATACATACAGCACCTACCTTACTATCCGCTTTAACTGACTTCAAGTGTCTCCTCAAGCATATTTTTACGAAAGGATCCGAGATAAACCATCCGTTTAAATCATAAGGGACAAGAGGAAGAAAAGGAGCGCCTAGACCTGTACTGTACTCCTTTCTCTCTTTCTTTCTCCATTAAACTTACACAATGAAGACATTTCCATGGAACCCCACTGATGCTCAACACCTGGCTTGGCTTCTAGCTTGCAGGTGATGCCACGGTGTCCACTGCAAACGTAGCGAACGCTTCTAAGACTCTCAAAATCCAGGTTCTAGTTTGAAGTTTTAAGTTTGGACTGCTGGACTCACCATTTTTGCAGTAATTCCCGGGGCAACACATGGCGTGGCGCAGGCAACGTTTCCGCCGCTTCCGACAGGCGAGACAGATTTGCGTGGCGGCTCCCCCTCCGCGGACCGGACTCGCGCAGTATTCGTCCGTGCCACACTCCTCATCCTCCGCGCACGGGTATGGCTGCGGAAAGCGGACGCAGAGACGATGAGGCACCAGACTTGCAGATGCCCATTCTCTGACCCAGGCACTCATCACGGGGTCCCTCTCTTCCCGTCTCCAAAATCTCTTGCCGCTCCCAAAATGCAGCCTTTCCGAATGCGACCTGAATCTCACACACCCAGCAAGTTCTAAACCCTCCTCCCCAATTGGGTCCCCTTCAAGGTCACAGGGTCCCCAGATCCTAGATAGCCCTCTCACCTGGTAGTTGTCAATGGTCTGGTATTTGTTGGCGCCCTCGTACAGAATTCCAGGCGCCACGCTGACTGCGGAGCCTGGGTGCCCTGCAGCGCCGCCCAGCGGTGGGGGTAGGTTTTTGATGGCGTTGGAATTGAGGAGCACTGAGTTCAAGGTGGCACTCACCCCAAGTAGAGGGTGGCCGCAGAGAGCTGCAGCTACCAGAGCAATCAAGAGCCGGGCAGCTGCCACTGCGCTCAGAGATGTCATCTCAGAAGGAATCAAAAGAGAGGGGAAAAAAGAAAAAGGAGGAATGTCACTTGGCAAGCTTTGTGCCCACGAAACTAGCGCCCAGCTGGCGCGGTTGCAATCAGGGTCCCGGAAACCTCCAGCTGTCCCAGAAAGCTGTTTGCGGGGCGCACCGAGTTCTGTGCTGCCACCGCCACCGGCTGCCTTTATACTGCGGACTCTAAGCATTCCCGCCCCTCCAAAGAGACAACAAAGCCTGGATGGGATTTCAAAGCGTTGGGAGGGGCTGGGAGGGGGTGTGTTTGTGTACTTGAAGGGGGCCCTTTGACGCTCTTCATCCCGCCCCTCCCTTGCACGGCAGTTCCTCTGGCCCCCAGATCCTTTCGATGTTACGATGTTACGGTTATCTGTGAGCATTGGAGCCCAGGACTCGGATAAAGGCAGGAGGAGGGAGGCACCGGGTACTTTTTGCCTTACGGTAGGGGCTGGGTTGTGGAGATTGGGACACTCCCCGCAAAACCATCATTTGCTTCTCTTACTTGCCTGCCCATTGCTCTGGAGTCTCTTTGACTCATTATAACCTTATAGGGCAGGGTTAGAACTGCTCTATAGTTTCCAAAGCTGAAATCCTTGGGGAAACTGACGGCTACACCTCCCTCCCCTGAAGGTCCACTATTTATTAATTGTGCACAGAAATAACCTTCAATATTAAATACAACTTGATCTGTAGAGCAAAGTCTGCAAACCCACTACTAGGAGAGCGCCAGGTGGCCAGAGCAAGTTGCTGATTAACCCTTAGAGTCACAGTTTCCAGGATTAGTGGGCGGGATCCCTAGGCTCCTTCAATTCCCCCTCCCTAGAAAATGTGAAAAGAGAAGGACATTTGCACATCAAACGAGGGTAAGAAAGGAAGAACTAATTCTCTTTTGATGGGAAGTTGAGAGAGGGAGGCGAGAGACTGGAGTTTGGAAATTAGATCAGGGGCGGAGGGAAGAGGGAAATGACCATCCGATAATCAAACTAATGTTCTTTGAATCTGAGCAGCCCGGCAGTAGATGAACTTGATTAGGCAGACGCACGAGATCAAAGTGGCCACCGCACAGCGGACAGGGTTCAACTTGGTGTACCAAGTCAGTTTGTACTTGCCTGGTTCTCGCTTCTCAGTGGAGGGTTAACACTGCGAGATAAGAAACCCCTAAGGCTTAGCGCCTGACTTCCTCCTCATTAGTATTTCATATCACAGTGCTTGAAAATGCACGTGTTTGATCCCAAGTCAGACGCTTTGCGGAGTCTGGGAGTAGTCCCGCTAGGGAGATAAGAGACTGCAGCTTGAGGAAAAAGACAGCTGAAAGTGAACCAGAAAGTGAATTTGACGTCATGCATATCAGTGTATGAAAATAATAAAATACGACCAGAGCATAAGAATGTTGTCATGCCTACAAATTGGAAATAATTGGACGCCTAGTGCCCTAGCATTGAACTACCTTCCATATTATTACTGTTGGAGAGGCCGGAGACAGCGAACACAAATACTTGAGACAGAGTGTTCATTTTCCATGATTTATCCTAATTATGATAATAACAATTAAAATCTAAGAAACACAATTTTTTTAAAAAAGAAAGAAGCTGAATGCTTTATCCAAAAAAATGGACAATTGCCCTTTGTTAGTTTGGAAAAGAAAAAGATGATCAAATATTCACTGTTGAATAAAAACAAGCAGAAACAACCCTGAGATATATTTATTTTGTACTCTACTCCTTGGAGGCCAGGACGGCCAAACTTCATCTCTCATTTTTCAGACATACTGTCAGGAGGGACCAGTCGCTGGAGAAGGGTATCATGTTTGGTAAGGAGGAGGGTCAGAGAAAAAGAGAAAGAGGAAGACCCCAAGCAAGATGGATTGGCAAAGTGGCAGCATCAATGGGCTCAAGCGTGGTAACAATTGTGAGCTTAGCCCAGGATCCGGCAGTGTTTCCTTCTGTTGTGTGTAGGGCCGAGTGCTGACTTGATGGCACCTAACAACAACAACAAAGGAGCCCTGAGGGAGCTCTGGTAGCTTAGTGGGGTATGAGCAAGATCAGCAATTCAAAACTACCATCCCCTCTGGGAGAAGGTGAGGCTTTCTGCTGCAGTAAAGATTTACAGTCTCCGACATCCTATATAGAGTGGCTACGTGTGGAAATCGACTCCACAGTACGTCTGTCACCACCACCGCCACCAAGGATCCCTGATGGCACAATAGTCGAGTGCTTGACAGCTAACCTTAAAGCTAGAGTTTGGAACCTTCTCCCCTCCCCAGTCTCTAAGTGAAAGAAAAAGCAGGAATCTGTTTCTTAAGAAATTGTTGTTGTTAAGTGCCGCCGTTGAGTCAGTTCTGACCCGTAGCGACCCTGAACATGGTTTCCGAGGCTGTAAATCTTTACGGGAGCAGAAAGCCTCATCTTTCTCCCGTGGAGCAGCTAGTAGTTTCGAACTGCTGACCTTATGGTTCACAGCCTGATTCCTAATCACTACGCTACCAGAGTTTACAGGCTAAGAAACCCTAAGGAACCATTCTGCCCTGTCATATAGGCTCTCTATGAGTCAGAATAGACTTGACAGCACCTCACAATAACAAAAATCTCTACTGTATCTCTAACTGCTCCAAATATCATATAAATATATATGACTGAGACCATCATATAAAGTATAGTCAATGGTGGTCCTGAAGTAATGTAGTGCTAAAATTAAGAGGAGGGAGGGTAATTAAAAGAGCAGTTTGTAAAGGACTGTATTCTTAATCTTTGGGTCTTAGAGGTCATAAAACTATCTTCAAACATTAAAAAAATATATTTCCCCCAATTACTCTAGTGTCCCTGTCAGACTATACATGTGGATTTCACCAGATGGAATATACAGGAATCAATTACATTGAGAACATATATGGGAAGAGATTATGGGAAGACTCAGTATCATGAGCCAAAACTAGGCCAGGGATAGACTGTGAAACAGACTTATAATTGCTCATAGGCAAGTTTAGGAGTCCTGGTGTGGCACTATGGGTTAATGCACCAGACTGCAAAGTCATTTGTACTATAAGGTTGAGGGTTCAAGCTTACCAGCCACTCCTTGGAAACCCTATACAGGGTCGCTATGGGTCAGAGCTGACTCAATGGCACTTAACAACAACAAAGCAAGTTTACCCTGAAGCTGAAGAAAATAAAAATATGTCTATGAGAGCCAAAATAGGACCTTGAACACAACCCAGTGAATTTCAAGACCATCTCAAGAACAGATTTAATGCTGTAGATATTAATGACCAAAGACCAGAAGAATGTAGGAAGACATCAAGAACATCAAGCAGGAAGATCCAAAAGGTCATTTAAAAGAAAGGAAAGACCAAAGTGGATGTCAGAAGAAACTCTGAAACGTGCTTTTGAGCAGAGAGTAGCTAGAGCAAATGAAGATATTATAAAGTAAAAGAATTAATCAGAAAATTTCAAAGGACAGCTTAACAAGCAAAAGTATAAGTATTGAATAAAATGTGCAAAGACCTACAGTTGGAAGACACAGGTAAGAAGATGCTCAGTATCTCTCCAGCTAAAAGAACTAAAGAAAAACTCTAGGTTCAAGTTGCAATACTGAAGAATACAATGGGCAAAATAGTGAATGATGAAGGTAGCATCAAAAGAAGATAAAAAGAACACAGTTACTGTACCAAAAAGAATTGGTCAACTTTCAAACATTTCAGGAGGTAGTGTATGATGCAAGTCCTGGTGTGGCACTGTAGGATAAGCACTGCACAGTGAGGTTGGTTTGAACTGCAAGGTTGGCTGTTCAAACTCACCAGCTGTTCCTCAGAAATCATATACAGGGTCACTATGAGATGGAACCAACTCAATGGTATTTAACAACAACAACACAAGCGTATGTATGATCAAGATCTGATGGTGCGAAAAGAAGGCGGTGGCCAGTCTACACTGAAGGCATTAGTGAAAAGCAAATCTTTAGGAACTGATGTAATATGAATTGATGCAGTGTTGGGCCCACCTATAGGACTGTATCAACTGACAGGAAGAGATCCATATTTGTGCCCCTTCCAGAGAAAGGTGACCCTATAGGATGTGGAAATTATCAAACAATATCATTAATATCACACACAAGTAAAATTTTATTGAAGATCATTTAAAAACAGTTACAGCAATACTTTGACAGGCAGCTGCCAGAAAGTCAAGATAGAGTCCAAAGAGGACATGAATTGACAGATATCATTGCTGATATTAGATGTGTCTTGACTGAAAGCAGAGATTATCAGAAATATGTATACTAGTGTTTCTCTTGAGTGCAAAAGCATTAGACTGTGTGGATCTTAACAAACTACAGATAACATTATGAAAAATGAGAATTTCAGAACACATAATTATGATCAAGAGGCAGTTGTTTAAGCAAGAACAAAGGGATATTGTGTGGTTTAAAATCAGGAATGGTATGTGTCAGGGTTGGATCCTTTCATAATACTTATTCAGTCTATATGCTGAGCAAATAATCAGAGAAACTGGACTATGTGAAGAAGAACTTAGCATCAGGATTGGAGGAAGGCTCACCAAACAATGTGTGATATGCAAATGGAAAAACCTTGCATGCTGAGAGGAATGAGAACTTGAAACACTTATTAATTAGCATCAGAGAATACAGCCTTCATTATGGATTATACCTCAATGTAAAGAAAACAAAAATTCTTACAACTGGACCAACAAACCACATCATGATAAATGGAGGATAGATTGAAGGTGTCAAGAATTTCATTTTACTTGGATCCACAATCAGTCTTCATGAAAGCTGGAGTCAAGAAGTCAAAGAATGCATTGCATTGAACAAATCTGCTACAAATGACCTCTTTAAAGCATTAAAGAGCAAAGATGTGACTTAAAGGACTAAGGTGTGCTGTGTTGTTTTCTGTCACCTCATAAACATATGAAAGTTGGCTATTGAATAAGGAAGACTGGATAAGAATTGATGCATTTGAATCATGGTGTTGTAG